TTTGTGGCTGTATATCTTGTATATTGTACTTGGGATCTTGATTCCCCCAACTATATAGAAATGTAAGTACATTATTTGCTCTGTATGCACTGATCAATCAAAAGTGCTTCTTACTGCTTTGCCTGCCTTGGGAAGATGCCTTGGCATTCTGAGAAGTGCTTTGGGGGCCATCAACATGGATGTCACAGTGTTGAATTGATTCTTGCTCAGGTTTTTTTCTTATTGTTTGTTACACTCCTTTCAGCTGAGGCTACAGGATACAGATCAGCCAGAATTTTAGTCTAAATATGTTTTGCTAGGCTTGCATATTAACATCAATATTACGAAGTCACAATAAAGTATACAAAGCATTTGGCATGGATATTGTGGTTGTTTCAAAGTTGCTATTCCCTTGCATTTTGCAGCTGATAATACTTCATTGTGGCAACCTAGAAAAGACCCAACTTAGAGATGTGCACCTCCTTATCTTCCTGATTTTGTTAATCATCCATAGTTTATTTGAGTTTCCTATTGAATATTCTCTCATTCAGTCAGGTCCTGGAAATTGAAAACCTCTAACTACATTTCTGAATGCTTAATAGGAGTAAAATGGTATTTTTCTCTAATTAATGCATTTGAATTCCCACATGGTCAGATAGGCTTATATCTTTGTCAGCATTTTGAAGTGAAGTATTGCAAAAGTAGCATATACACATATATGAATAGGAATAAATAAGCCAGGTAAGCCAGTAATCAGCAACACTACAGGTTCTGAATAAAGAAGTTCCATGGAGACCTTTCTTCAGGGGAGGTTGTTATGGTCCCTCCCTTAAAATTGCCTTAAAAATGAGTCCAAGAGGCAGCTACACAGTAGGTAAGCATTTACTAACCCCCAATCCAATATTGGAGCTAAGTGATAGGTGCTAAATGGCACTTAAAAAGTCATTGACTGTCACCAATGTCACACATATTAGATATTTCACATATTTAAATCTTAGTACTTTCTAAATCTTGAAGGAAATGAATGGTAAGAGAAAAGAGTTGTTGAATTAGCTATAACTGTTTTACCTGTCTGGACAATCAAATATAGATATAAAACCAAAACATTAAGGACACATTAGGAAATACATATGGTGAATAATAGAATGTTAAAAGGAATTTCCATAAACCAAGAAGAAAAAATAGCCAAAGAGAGAAATTATGTAGGTCTCAAAAACAGATAATTGAAAAAATTGAAATAGCACACACATGAAAAATAACTTCTCTAGGAATTGAATAAATGCAAAATGAAGTAATAGACTATTTTAGTCTATCAAATTAACAAATATAAAGAAATCTTAGGGACCAAATTGATAAGGTCAGGGTTTATTTGCACTATTCCTATTGAATATTCTTTAAAATGCTCATGCTGCCGAGTAGATCATGTAAATTGCTGGAGCCCATCTGGAAGACATTTTAGCAGTTTGAATTCCTCATCTAGATATCTATTCTAAAGAAATTACCAGAAAAATGAAGAAAGATACATATACTCAGAAATTTGTTGCAATGTTTTCTGCAAGTCTGGCCGCAGACAGTGAAATATTCTGAAATAATTTTAAAATGTTGACAAAGAATTTTTAATGACGTGAAGAAATCTTCATAATATATAACAGGAGAAAAGAGCAGCATAAAATAATAGATATGCTGTATGTATAGTCATGTGTATTGCATAAAAAGACAGAAAGAAATGAACCAGAATATTACCTCTGAGTATTGAAAGAATGGGTAATATTATTTTAATCTCCATAGTTTCTACAACTTCCAACATTTCCACATGAGTATATCATATTTTTATAATCAGAAGATGTCACTGATACTAATGAAATGCAGTTTAAAACTTTGATGAGCTGTGAAGCTATATATTGTGTAGTGAAAAAAAAAGAACTTATATCATGCTCGCTTCTCTTGTTAGTTCCAAAGAAGAGCTACTGAAGCAATTTCCCTTCTGTTGTTTGCACTGGCCTGGATCAGGAACTGCCTGTATGGACTTCGTGTGGTTTTAAAGGCACGAGCGGCCAGATGCCACAGGAGCACTTGGTGTATCATCTGCCTTGGCTTATTGGAAGCTTTGGAGTCTTATTTCTGGAATGTTTTGTACCTTTTGCTATCAGAATGCCACTGGGGGATAAACGTGTACTTTATATATTGTCTCTTCTAACAAGTGTAATAGCTAATGGTATAGCCAGTTCATTACTGTATTTGAGAAAGTCATTCCTAAGGAAAGCACTCTCTTTTCCAAAGTCTCCTAGGTAATTAGCTCGTTAGCATGGGATCAAATGCAAAGGCGGGTTCCTTGCTTATCTTTGATTTATCATATAAAAAAAATTTGAGCCAAGATTAAGCATCTTAGATATTAAATTCTGGTTAGATTATAACAGCAGACATTAAGAGAAAGAGATATGTCACCTCTGGAAATCTATACAGAGAGCACATTGAATTAATAAAGAATAACTGGTGGGTGCTCTACCTTCTGTCAATAAATGTGAATCTTATGAATTAATAGTTTAGGGAACATAAAATATTTGGAATCATTGGCTAATGAATTTAATGAAAGTTAACAATAGTGATTAAAACTACATCCTTTGAGTATAGGGAATACATAGGAGGGCACTTACTATTCTCAGTATCTTAGCTTACTAGAATGCACAGTCATTACATAGTGAAATGACAATACTGTATTCTGTGTTCTTGTACTCATTAGTACTCTGAGTTGCAAGCATGCAGGAGTGCTCATTGTTGATCAGCGACGAGAGCTGCCATTTGGAATTGCAAAGCGAGGGACCCAACGCTCATGTTCTGGATTGCCAAACAGTGTATCAAATAATTGCTTAAGAATTCTTGGCATGAGTTTTACTTTTCTTTTCTTGGGCTCAGCCATTAAAGAAAATCAAACTAGCCTCTTGCACTTCAGCAGTTCTTTACGATTTTTAGCACTTTGCCGTAGATCACTAATGAGTACTCCCAAAATGCTTCCGTGAAGCAGAAAAATAAGAGCCTTGCTTAAAATTGGATACTTGGAGGCAGAGAGCGTAGGAATGCACTATGAGGGAATGATAAGGCTAGGACGGGCCTCTGAGCCCCTGTCCTCAGCAGGTGCAGGAGTGCAGAAAGGCGGTCCCAGAGTCTCCGCAGGGGAATCGCTGAGTCAGCCTCCTTTCGTCCCTCTGCTAAGAAGGAGCACAGAGAGGAGCTCCATGCCATTGCAAGACTGTGCTGGGGAAATTGTGGGTAGGCGACAACATAATTGTTTCAATTTCTTTCAGATTGGTAGAGTGGGGTTGATTTATGATTTCTTCAATGAACAGCTAAAAGTACTGTTTTTATTCTGATTTGACCATATGAATGCTTAATCTCTTGCTCCATGTATTGGAATGCATGGGACAGTATTGTCCTCCAACCGACCTTTTCCTGAGCCTAAAAGCTGTAACCTAAAACCCCAAATCATTGATTGGCCTTGAAGAACTTGCCCTGAGAGAATTAGGCCATTCCTTTTTCATCTTTAAGTGCATGTGCCTTGTGTGTACATCCAGAAAGTGGTATCCTTGGCCTCAGGCCTCGCTGAATTTGGGGATTTGTGGATGAGCAATAATCTCTCAGTCACAACTTGACTGGAGCCTGAACCCAATCTCACCCAAAATTAGTTTTCAAATCCAAATGCAATTAAAAACAGATGTTTTCAAGTAAACTGAAAAAAGTTGTGGAAAAAAAAATGAGATTCACTGCCTTGGTTGAATTTTCTAGGTATATGTAATCAACAGGAAGGGAGAAGAAATGTGTTGTTGCCAGAGAGTTTGCTCTTCCTTGTATCTACACTGAGCCCTTAGGAGCCTGGAACCAGTGCCCTTTGAGGAAGTGTGTTATGATTTGCCAGGCTGGACTTCTCTGCCTGATCCACTTTCTGACCTATTTACATGTCAAGACAAACGTGCATCTTGTGTTAGGCACTTAATAATTCTTATTGCGGAGAATTATGTTTTACACACAGAGGAAGGGGCACATAAAAAATAACTTGTTATCCAAAAGTCCTAGAATATTAAGGATTCTTGCACAGGAAGTTTCATTTACTGCATGCTTTAAAACTTCTTCTAAAGCTAGCCTAATGGCTATTCAGGAAACATTAATGAGTTTGGGAAGGTTTCTCCCCCACTGAATCAGAACCCCATTCAAGTATGCATAGTGGGGAAATGGAGGAGAAAGCTTACTTGTGGACAAATAATACCCAGGAACTTTAATGTATTAAAATGGATTCATAAGTTCTTTTAAGATGAAAAACATGTGTCCAATTATTCTGAGATCCACCACTCCTTACAAGTTCAGAACAGACAGTCCTCATCTCCCTGTCTTAAAATGAGTAGGTCTATTTTCAGAATAATTTTCAGCATTAAGTCTGGTCCACCATTTGATTTTTAATCTCCTCTTTTATCCCTGGAATCTTGCATTCCTGGTACACTTCATCTCTTTTGTGTGGAATAATATCCTTCAGAAATCTTTGATGCATTGGTGAATTAAAAGAAAAAAAGATGTAAGTGCTTGCTCTATTTGTCATTTTTAATATGTTTTGAGCCATATGATTTATGATTAAGTGTTTCTTGGGAGAGGAGAATGTTTAAGGTGGTATTTTGAGCTCCATTTAAGGCAATTTAGTTGTCATCAGGCCTCCTCACCCCATAACCTTCCTAAGACCTTGCTTCATAAATTGGACCCAAACAATTGGCTTGTGTTTCGAGTAGACAAAGCCTTATGGAAATGATACTTGCTAAGTATTTTTATTGGACATCTGGGTAAGAGTTCACCTTTGTCAGACCAGTCACAGACCACAGCCTGACTCCTATACCCTTAGTGGCAGTTTCTGCTCTTGGCACACTCTTTTAAAATTCCTTTAAATTGAAAGGGAATGAGATTTGGATCATTTTTTCCCCAACTTTCTGCTTTGACTCCTGATTCAGTAGCTGAGATTAACAATGTCCCTCCCTTATCTTTAGGTCATGACTCTGCCTGTAGGCACTCCCCTGCCTGCCAATCTGTATACCCTGGTACTGGGTGGACTCCCTATAGCTCACATTATGTCCACGTATGGCCAGGATGCTGAGGCCCGGAAGATGCCAAGTGAAGTTGGCAGGTGGAAAGAATGACTGCGCTTGCTCCATCTCCACTGATTCCTCTCGGTGTGTCACCTGGACCCGAACTGAAGTTGGATGCCAGGGCATGGAACTCCTCCTTGTTGAGCTGACCTTAGATGAGAGAGAGGAGAAGTTAGTATCATTTCACTTTATTTCTTAATAGCAAAGCTCTTTATTTAAGAGACGTAAAGGCAACAAATACAGTGTCCCTTGGGGTTGATAACCAGATGAAAAAGATTGAGGAGCTCTCTGTAGTATTTTTCATTATTTGTACCATAATATAAAATTGTATGTTTGGAAAATATTTCAGCCATGAACTTAATTTTAGAAATTCCTGGACTGAAGGTAGAATATCTTTGATGAAAATTTTTGGGACAAAGTCAGGAAGTGACTAGGCCAAATATGAAGGGAATAAATAAACAAACAAATAAATGAAATAGAAGAAAGGGGTATGTTCAGAGTATTCCAAAGATGAATTGTATTCTTGTTCAAACAGAGAAAAATATCCATTCCCCAAGAGAGAATGGATTCGGCATGTGATTCCAGGTGCTAACAAGAATAACAGAGTCTTAGCATGTGGGCCCCGCCCTCTGTTCATTATTGCTCTCCTGAGAGTGCTGGCACTGTTCTAAATGTGAGGCTTTAAAAAGTGTGCATCCTATGGAGATGTTCATTTAACTCCTTCCAGTGAGGAGATACACACCAGAAGATCTTATTAAATGAAGTTTCACACAAGTCTCATGTGCCTGGGTGTGACTTCAGGATCGAGGAGATTTAAATGTCATTGCAGTATATACTGATGATCAAGAGAGTTTTTTAAATGTTTAAAATGTTTTCCAGTTGACAGAGCAGTTTCACACCTGACATCCCAGACTTGCTGTCCTTTGGAGGGCAGGCCCTCGGAGCACTCAGAGAGCAGAGTGGGGCTCTGGTGTTAGTAAGCCCCTGTACCAGTACCGTCCAGAGAGCTGTCCGTATGAATGCTAGAGCTGAGAAGCCTGCCATTACTAGCTTTCATCTCTCTGCACCTCAGTGTGCTTGTCCATAAGGGAAGGAGTTGAATTACATCTTTAATAGCCTTTCCAGCTTGAGAATTCTTAGTCTATTCTCTATTTCCAGCTCAAGAGGTTTTAAAACTTGTTTGTTCATTTTAATTCCTTTGGGTATAGAGCTAAAGAACAGCAAGCAAGCCAGGGAAGGAGGTGAGGAAGGCAAAGATCAGGAAGGGCAAACAAGAGTGAGAGAGAACTGGGAGAAGAATGAAAGGAAATAGGCTTATAGATAAGTAATGGGGTGGCAGGAGCCGGGCAGGCTGGCTAATTTCCTGTATCTCAGATTTAATCTGAGGGGGATCTAGCTGATGATTTGCAGTGTAATTCTGTAAGTAGTGTCAGAGTTAATAATATTTTTGACTTTTTCCTTAAGAAAAACACAGCCAGTGACTGCACAGTTCATTCTGCATGGAAGACAGAGACCATGACAGCCCAGTGTGGCGGTGCTGGAAGGAGAGCCATTTCCGGCTAACGAAGAGGGTCCTTAAGGGGGGATCTGCAGCCTCTGTCCTGGGTGTGGCCAGGAGCCTTGTCTTGTGGGCGCTCTGTGGGTGGAGGGGTGAGCTCATGCCTTTTCCTCCCTGAAGCAGTCATTCTATGACATTCAGCCCCAACCAGGTCCTTTGGTCACAAAATAAAGAATGGTTTCCCATCAAGGTTTTTGCCACTAGCTACGTTTTAGTTGATATGAAAATCTGTAGTCATTACTATCTCTGTTTTTCACCTTATTCAGTCATCAGCTGTGGTTGTTATTTCTTTACACAGAAAAACAAAAACCCCTCTTGTGTGCTCTGGTGTGACACCTTGGTCTCCTAAAGTGGACAGGGGTTGAGTAGGAATTAGGTGTCCTTTTCTTGTGGGCGATTGTAAAATGTTTCATTTCCTCAGGGGCTGTGAGGAACACATTGATAAACTGTGGAGTAAGCTGGTTCTGGGAAAGATTGCAAAGCATTTTCAAAGCAGAACTGCCTAGTGGGAAGCAGGCGTTCCTCGTACTTTCAATCCAGTGCTATGAGGGTGGCCTGGTCTCGGGAGTGGGGGTGGCTTGGCGGAGTCCCAGAGCACACAGTCCTCTCCAGGCTAGCGGGGCACTGGGGCTCTCATGACAGCTGCAGCCACTCTCCAGACAGTGTGTCTCCATTTAGGACTTTGCCTCTGAGGCAGTTGCCTAGAGCTCTTTGTCTGGAAAGAAATGTCATAGCTCTTCAAGCCGTGGTCTGTCAGCGGCTGCCCAGAATTTAGCGCATCCTATGGGGCTCTTGTGCCTTCTGCGTTTATGAAAACCCCACCTCAGTACAGTCCTTCACTGACGTGGCAGCTTATTCAGGTGGGTCCCTCTTGGAGTATGCAAGAGGAATGGGGAGTTGGATTATGGATTAGAAAAGTTAAATAAAATAAAGAATCAATTAAAAAGAAACCAACACATACATACCATAAACACTTTCTCTTAACTTAAAAAATGTTGTATTCTTTCAGGAATCATTTGATGTAGGAGGAAAGAAATATTTTCTCTTTCTTATTGAAATACACAACTTTTACAATATTATACAACAATATTTACAACTTTTATGATATTATATTAGTTTCCGGTATACAGCAGTTATTTAGCAACTATATACATTGCTAAAATGCTCACCGCAGTAAGTGTAGTTGCCATCTATTAACATACAAAGATGTTACAATATTATTGACTATATTCCCTATGCTGTACTTTTCAGACTAATTTATGTTATAATTGGAAGTTTGCACCTTTTTATCTCTTTGCTCAGTTTCACCCATCCCCTTACTCCTGTAAAAGTCATCTTTGAATCTGGGTATGATATTAGAATCATCTTTCACAAACCGCATTAGTAATGCATCATCTACAATCTCCATTTGGGTTTTTTTTTAAGTTATTGCTTCATTAGATTAGAGCACACATTTAAAGGCAGTCACAGAATCATCTGAGAAAACAGGTCTCCAGATGGTAGTTGCTGTTTTTCCCTGACTTTAACAGTTGTTTCACTTGCATGTAATTCAACGTACAGTTGGGAGCTCCCCTTGGAGAGCCCTTCCAAAGTAGCCATCCTCATTTTGCGTAAATAGTTCTTTCCTTTTGCACTCGTATTTCATTGCTTCCCATAATATTCAGTTACATTGTGTAAATATATTAAGGCCAATGGTGTTGGGGGTAAAGTACAACTGATCCTTGGTGAATTTACAACAACTAGTCAGAGTGGAAGCCCAGTGGCTCTAGAGACAGACCTGCTCTCTGCTGGCCGTCAAGGTTGAGGGCCAGGAGGAGGAAGGCCGACAGAAGGCCTGAATGCCCACTCACCTGCAGAACTGCTAAGGGAGTCTGTGAAGCAGCTTCTGCTCTAATGAACTCCTACCAGGCAGAGTGCAAGGTGGCAGTCCCCAACAGGGGGCAAAGCTGGGAGTCCAGTTGCTGCACAGTGTTAGGTGCAGTAGAGACAATCCACACAGAGGAGGAGAAATCACTTCTCTGAAATGTGCAACCAGGAGGCAGGGGCTGAATTGTGTTGCCCCTAAAGTTTGGATGTGGAATCCCTAACCCCTAATACCTCAGAACATGACTGTATTTGGAGATAGGGTCTATAAAATATTGATTAAATTAAATGAGGTCATTAAGTCCTACCCAATATGAGCGTTCTCTTCATAAAAAGAAGCTATTTGGACACAGACGCTGACACAGGGAAGGCGATTTGAGGATGCAGAGAAAATGGCCATCTGTAAGCCAGGTGGAGAGGCCCGTTGCAGACCCTGCCCTATGGCCCTTAGAAGGAACCAACTCTGATGACACCTTGGTCTGGAGCATCTAACCTCCAGAAGGGCGAGAAAATAAGTATCTGTTGTTTACCAGTATGGGGTCTTTTGTGAAGGCAGCCCTAGCACACTACTACAGAGCCTTCATGGAGGAGGAAGCATTTGATGCGGGCTGGAAAGGATGGGTGGTTTATTGATAGCCTAAGATAAGAGGAAGGAAATTGCAAGCAGATGGAAGATCTCGAACAAAGATTTAGAAGTGGGCACGTATTTGAGAAATAATAAGACGACCTTTTGGCTAGAGGAGAGTTCCTGTAGGGCAGGAGGAGGATAGGAAGTAGGTCAGATCAGGGTCTTCTGTGGGTACTGGGGGGGGAACCTGCTGAAGGATTTGGAGCAGTGACACAATCAAAGTGGCATTTAGGGTCATTATCTTGTATGCAGTTGCCAGAGAAGTCTGTCTAGCACCTGCTGAAGGCCCTCATGGCTGTCGGCAGTGTGGATGTGACCAGCTCCTAGATGAGGCTGATGGTACTGCTTAGGGTGCGCAGAACTGGTGGGAGAGACAGACTCACCCTGACATAAGAGTGACAAAGCATTACTGCCTTATTAAGCTCCCATCCCTTGGCCTCACCACCACCCTGCCCACTCCCAGCACCCTGCAAGTGAAAAGAGACTTGCCAGGTTTCCTGACATCATTTGCTTCTTGAGCAGGACATAGACAATGTGAGCAGGAGAATTCAGGAAGAAGGCTTGGCTCTGGGCTGCTGATGGAAGTGCCCCCTCATCTCACACAGGGGCAGTTGGACTTCAGCTCATCTTGGGATTTATATCAAGCTGAGTGCTGAGCTGAAACAGCATTTTATCTTGCAGTCTTAAAACACTATGTATCTGTATGTAGTAACTCCTACGAGGCCTAATTACCAAATCATTGGTGCTCAATAAATATTTTTAATAAATGCAGTAATGGCCTGTTCCATGGCTTTTGATCATGCTTATAGCCTGTTGCATTAGAAGAGGTTTCTCAGCCTTCCGTCAGCATTAACTATTCTGGAGCCCTGTGATATTGTTAAAAACAATTGCCAGAAAAGGCTCAGTTAAGAACAAGGATCCTCAAAGAGAGATTCTGTCTCTGTAGGTCTGAGATAAGTCCTGGGTGTACCTATTTATTAAATGTGCTGTACATGATTCTGACTTATTGCTAGGGTTGCAAAATCACTGATTATGACCTTTTATAACAGTTCTGAGATCAAGGTTAAATCTGATACCAAAGAAATTTAATCCTTATGATTCTAATTTTAGCAAACTTCATTAGCTTATCTAGAAAAAGCTTTGCATTCGAAGATTCAAATGAGTGACTTCAAAGCAACTGCTTCTGCTTTCCAATTTAATTTAAAGAGAAACTCTTCTCTTCCTCGTGATTCTTTCACACCAAACAACAAAACTACCCAAATAAGAGATAGAAATTCTTTTACAAAAACAAGTTCATGCTCAGAACCACCCCCAACTAACCCCAATTAAGCTGAAATACCAAGTTCTTTATTAAAAAAAAAAAAAAGAGCAGGTGGGAATATTGTCCATAAACTTCTGTGTACAAGAAAATGGAACTTCACTTTTCTATAGCTCAACTCATTTTCTACTTCAAGTTTCCATTTCATTAGATGGCAAAATCTTAGTTTAGTCAATAGAGTATTTTATACCTCTTCCCTAGGGGTTGCACTAAGTCATTGGGAATTTAAATGATAGCAAGGCATGGGGTGAACGGGGTGGCTCAGGAGGTCATCCATCTGACCTGAGTCAGCACCTGTTCCCACTGGCATCACTGAAATGTCCTCATTTCTATCTGGTCCTTGTTGCTACATCATCTTTCATCCCCCATTGCAAAGCTTTAGGTCTCCACTGATTTCCATACCTCTCTCAGGCATGACTGGATGAGTCTCCTACTTCATCCAAATCCTGGGCAGGGATAGATCATGTGGTTGCCTCTGTAAATTTATGTTGATACAAGAGGTAGTCATTTCTACCTTGAGATGATATTGTCCTTCCCCACATGCTGCCCAAGAAAGAGGGGTGGGTTTCTTCCATTTCAGTGTGTATGAGATTGTAGGGCCCTTGCACAAGGCCCCCAGCATCTCCTCCTTGCTGCCTCTCCCTCTGCCCTGGGAAATCTTTTCTAATCTCTGGGGCAGCAAACCTTGCACTTACCTAATCAAGCATTCTCACAAATCTGTTAGATTGTTTCTGCACAAGATTCCGTTCAGTTTACCTTTGAGGGTTGGACTTTTGAACAAATCACAGAAAATGTCTAGTTTTTCTCTTTAGGCCCCATCACTTGATCCCTGAGGCAATAAGCACCTAGCTGAAATCATCAGGGTGGTACTATGGAGCAACAGAAATAGAATGCTAGGCCTCCTCTGAAATGTATTTGATTCAGCCTTGGCTGAAATTGTAATCAAAGCCAGAGAGTCACAAGCTTCAGTGATCAGTTTAATGAAGAATTTTGAAGAATATTGGCACAGGGCTTGGTGAATCTAGAGCACTGAGTTAGCCAGAACATCTTAATATATAATAGCTAGAAAATAGAAGATGTTTACTTGAAACTCACTAAGAATATAAACAGCAAAGTTAGAGTGAAGGTCTTATTTTTTCATGTTTATATTTATTCTGTATCTTGTTATCATGAAATCATTCTTTTACTAGTTTGCAAGAATTTCCTTGGAGAAATATTGACTCTAAACTTTATTGTTATCTTCTATGGACTGTATCCTTAATCTCAGAAACATGCTTGCTTGGAATGGGAAATTTCATTTACTCACTATAAGTTTGTGGAAGGAAATTGAATTTGATAGAATGTTTATTGCTGGAAATCAAGTTTACTCA